AAACTGCAGGGACTTCTCCAGGCAGTCTCTGAGAATTAGAGATGACTGAACAGATTTAAAAATATATATAATCATTATAACCCTAAGCTAACAAGATGGCTTGAAAAGACCCACACTTAAATATATCTCTAAATTTGTGGGGCGGCGGGAAGGTTTTGCTCCAAATTCAGTCTTCAAAAAGTCTTCTTCTGCCACGGTTGCACGATCCTGCTGTGACACACTCTGGAGCTGCTTCTGGAGGTCAAATCTAAGCATCCCACAGCCGAAATATATTGCCGATTCATTTGTGCGTGCCCATGCGTAGGCTTATTTATCTGGATATTTCTACCAAAGATACACAATCATTTTCTTTGATGTAATTTCAGAGAAACAGCTTTCAGTGACTCAAACCTTGGAAAGCAAACAGGAAAACTCATTTTCGTTCCTATACACCGATGACCCTTTTTTTTCTTACTGTTATGTTGGAAATCATGATACATTATATTATTTCGATGCCAATTTCAACGCGGTAATGTTTATATAGTGTGATTAAAACGATTAACATTATTTTAAAAACTTGAAAGTATTGAAAATAAAAAGAGAAAAATAAAAATTCTATCAGTATTCATTGCCATTCAGGATGTCAATGTTATAACATTATTTAACTTTTCATCCAAAGTGGAGTATAAGATAAAAAAGAAAGAACCACTGGAATTCATATCAAAATATTAGTTATATGATAGGAGTTTCAGTCTTCAACTAATTACTTGGGAAGAAGAGATCATTTGTTGTATTTTAAGGGAAGGTTATAAGTTACTTAAATTGTTTATACTGGTTGGGATGAAGGGGGAAGTCATTTCTTTATATATTTCTTCTCTTTTTCTTTACTATATTCTTATTTTTTCTTTCTTTTCTATTTTTCTTTCTATTTTTTCCCTTTTCTGCACTTTCTATTTTTTCTTTTTATTCTATTTTTTTAGTTTCTATTAGTTTTTATCTTTTTCATTGTAATTTTTAATAAGATTGTTATAAAAAAGAACGAATTACTTAATATTAAGATCTCCATTATATTGTTACTTGGGTGTGTATGTGTGTATAAATATATATGCTGATAAAAGGAAATCAAAAAATAAACAAAACAGATTTAATAAAAGTTAAAATACCTAAAAGTTAAAATACCTAAAAAGTAGGAAAAAAGAAAATAATAATAATTAAAGAAAAAAGAAAAAACCTTGTTGATTTCTGTCTCTCCCCCCGCCCCCTTTTATACATTTGTTAATTTGCCATATTTATTAGCATTCAGGCCCCGTCAAAAGCCAGACTGTAGGTGGTTATATTTACCATGCTACATGATCCGTTATATGTATGAGAACCATTCTTGCTTAAATTGACACCAATGACATTTATAACATCATAGTACAAACTTCTTCTTCCAAAGAATAGGTCTCTTGACATAGATGCCCACAGGTTTTATTTAACTGGCTATCTGGTTTCAACTGGGAAGCTGTCATTTGGGGAAACTGGTTTGGATCAACTTTACCTTTTGCTGGTGTAAAAGCTGATTATAGAAATATTAGTTAGGTCCTGTATACACTAGGATCAATTCACATGTCCTTTAATGGCAACCTTCCATGGGTCCCCATTTTTTTCTTTAAAGAATTACAGGGAGTCCCCAGTTTAAGAACGAGTTCTGTTCCCAAGGTCTGTCCTTAAGTCGAATTTGTACGTAAGCCAGTATTATTGTATAATACTGTATGAGTAGTATTGTCTAATGAACTCGAACCATTGTGTATTTAACTTGAATTTTGCTACAAAAGGCTCTGTTCTTAACTATGGGTTGTCCATAAACCGAGCATTCTTAACCCGGGGACTAGCTGTAAAAGCAAGGAAGGGGGGCAGAATCAATTCTTACTACAATTACAACATTGCAAGAAGAAAAAAATGTTGCTGTTCTCCAAGCTGGAATTTCGCTCCTAGCTATGAATTCCCCTGGGAATTTTTCCCATGCTCAGATGGCAAAGGGAGGTGATATTCCCATCTCCCAGTTTCTTAGACTCATGTGTGTCGCTTATGACGGGAACTACAGAAGATAAATTTGCCATCTTCATAGATTGGGAATGTGATAAAAAAACGAACCTGTTGCACTTTTCATGAGCTAAAGAAAAGGGAGGGGCCTGAGTGCACATCAAAAATTTGGGCTCTGGATTTGTTTCAACAAAGGCGTTTTGGATCCCATGGGATGGCAAATGTCTACATCTCATTAAAGCTGCTGCATCGGATTCCAGAATTGCCTGGCCAGATTTGACTGCCTTAATAAGTCACAAACAAGAGCCGTGTTTGCACTCTTGCATGTTCTGGAGCTCCTTATGTAAAATGCATCTGAGACATTGGACAACTCTTTGAAACATGATGTGTAGCTTGTGCATATCAGAATAAGACAGAAGAGAAGGGATGGAGCGTGTCTTAAACGGTGGTAGAGGAACTCTTCTTGGCAACCATCAGCCCTTTCCAATTATGTGCCCTCTTTCTCTGGCCCCTTTCTCCCTTAGTCCTCCTCTTCCTTGTTTAACTACTTCTCCTTCTTCTCCTTCTCCTTCTCCTCCTTGTTTATCTTCTCCTTTCTCCTTCTCCTCCTCTTTGTTTATCTTCTCTTTCTCCTACTCTCTCATCTTCCTCTTCTTCCTCCTCCTTGTTTATCCTCCTTCTCCTTCATTTTCTCCTCCTCTTCCTTGTTTGTCTTCTCCTTCTCCTTCTCCTTCTCCTTCTCCTTCTCCTTCTCCTTCTCCTTCATATTATTCCTATTATTCCCCACCCAATTCCATTATATAGAGGTTACCCAAAACATAGAGTAGCTCTGTCCTCTTTTCTCTTCTTATTCCCATAATGTTGAGGAAGTAAAAAAAAAAAAAGGGGGGGGATTGTGAATAGGGATCCTGTCCTTCTGTTCTTTTATGAATCTGCAGATTCATCATACAGCGGAGGCTGTTCTAATGGGTCACAAAAGGACCATTTGGAGAAGTTGGCTATAAAATTTGTTCAAGAGAGGAACTTAAAAAAAAAAAAATAGCCATTTTGGGCACAAGAGATATGCCCACGAGATTATGTCATCATGATAATTCATTTCATACCTTAGTTTGCTAAAAGCAGTGTAACTGATTTTGTCTTTCTATGGAAGAAGATGCAGCTGCTGGCTGAGATCTGACCAACCAGATTGCATGAAATCAAACATGACTATCTTTGGCTAGTTTGCTATTTGAAAGGAAGGGAAATTAACTAGCAACTTTCCCCCCTCGATATCTAGGTTGAAATCCCCCCCCCCCCCCCCCCCCCCCC